AGTTGTTCTCACTAAGAGAACCAGAGCTGGTCTGTTTATATTTAATACTAGCAGATATACCCAGCATTGTCTGGGTTTGCATTTTCTTTATGGCCCTTTCTTTTCTTTCTCCTTTTCTCTCATACATGTTGTCCTTCTCCTTTTTATTCCTTCCTTTCCTTCTTGTCTTGCATTCCCTCCTAAACCTTCCTCCTCCCTTTTCCTTACATCCATCTATTCTTTTTCTTCCCTTCTTTTTCTTTCTTCCCTCTCTTTTTTGACACTTTTCCCCTTTCCTTTCTTTTTTCTTCCCTCCTGTCTTTCCCCTTTTGTTTTCCTTCACCCAGTCTTTTCTTGAAAGGCACAGCCTCTCTACCTCAGAGCAAGACATGGGCGCATGAATACTAAGGTTGTGCTTTCGGGGTAACCCTTGCCCCGTTTCATGTCCCGGCTTTCGTTGGGGGCCCTGATCCGTTTTTTGGGAGCTTCCCAAAATTGGGAGGTTTGTTGTCAGTTCTTTCGGTTCAGGGCCCGAAAATCCGACCACCATGGGGGGGGGGCTTCCCACCCACTGGCTCCCCTTCCCAGTGTACATTATTCTTACCTGGCATCTGCTGTTTTTACTTTAGAGTAAGAGGTGCTCAGCTGTAGGTACTGGCAGGCGTGTGCGCTTTCCGCGCCTGCTGTGCCACACATACATTCATCTTGGAAAGAGTGTCTGTGTGTGGCGGGAAGTGCAGACAGACCCGGAAAACCTGCATGCCTGCCAGTGTCTGCAGCCGAGTGCCTCTTACTCTAGGCTCACAGCTGCAGGCGCACTCCAGGTCTGCATGCACACCCCGCTACACACACCCCATCACACTTTCTTAGAGTGCATGTGTGGTGAGGCGTGCAGGCAGGCCAGCAGCGTGCCTGCAGCCAAGCTCAGGGCTTGCCTGCACTACCCGCCATCACACACGCACTCTCTTTCCAAGGCAAGGAGGACAGTTCGGATGCACAAGAAAGCAGACTTTGACATCGAGCAGATTTTGTGAGAAGAGGAAATGGTAGAAATGAATTTCATGCACAATTCTAATGCACATCTTCCAAAACATCAATCTTCATTAAATTGCTTCCTTTATTGCAGATATCCTGACTATGGCCTTCAGAGCTATGTTATAGTCCTCATGCCATTTTTTCTACGCATAGCTAATCCTTTCTATCTATCTACTGCCCTCTTGTGGTTTCATGGGAGCCCTGTGTACATACATATCTATAGGTCAGAGGGCTAATCCTTTATATATTGCCATTTTTTTCTGTTCCCTTGCCCCTAAACAGTATTTTGTAGTTGAACCCCTGAAATTATTTTAAGTTGGGTAATGAAGAGCATGTGTCTGGTTCAGCTCTATCAAGCCACATTGGAGCCTTTGTGATACAAACAAACCAACAAATATGCATACATACTTTGACTTTTCTAAATAGAGGTGTCAAATTGAATGTTCTGAGGCCCTCCATCAGATTCATGCAAATAAGCCTGTGCTGCAACACGTATATATATATTCTTAAAGCAGAGTTTTATCGTTTTTGCATCTCATATGGTAACCCTGGTTTATGGTGGATGAACCAGTATGTTGGTTCCAGAATTCCAGTCACTCCCAATAAAAGAAAGAATTTGATCTGCAAATAGGAATCCTGAGTTGTTTGTTTTTCATTTTATTTCTAAGTTGTTGTGAGGTTTCTGCCCATGTTCTGCCATCTTAGCAACCCAGACATGAATCAAATGTCAGTAGAGGATTTAACCATGCCCTATGGGAAGTAGATTCCGGGAACAAGAAATTGACTTGTTACTGAAAATTAGTTTCCCACTGAATTCTGGTATGTTTTGATAACATAATGTTGCCTTTTCATCACATCATCCACAGCAGAAAGAGTTCTGCCTTCTGAATTTCTGCCATGACTGGGAATGAGCAAATGTGTTCTATAGAAAGTGACACTTTCTATGGAATACATTCCCATAAGTTTTGATTTAAAGCACTGACCATATTAGTCAGTCCGCCCATCATTCAATCATTGATTTTCATTTTAATAAATTTGATTATCCAGAACCCAAGCAGCTCATGTGATCAATTAGAAAATTCTCCACACAAAATATACCAGGAGAACAACACTATATTTAAATTAGAGCTTGAATCTTGTAGTCCTCTTTAACACTAAAGCATTGTTTCAATTGGCTCAGAATCTTACCTTGTTCCCAGATGTCCTGTGAGAAGCAAGTACTTGAGCTGTTTTATTTTTTTTCTCACTTTCCAATGTGGTTACGATTATTTATTCTATTATTTTTGATGTTAGGATGTATTCATTTATCGTAAGTTATCCTAAGTACTCTTTATTAGGCTTGTGAATTTCCCCTGAACTTTGATCCATTTCTGCTGGCCGGATTTCAGTAGACCCCCATATCTGTTTTTGCGCACCTCCCAAAAATGGACGGGTAGCCAGATAGTCGTTTTCATTTCACAGCCAAAAAATGTGGCTAGATCCGGCCCATTGGCAGCAATGGGGAACTTACGAGGCTCCCCTTTCTGTTCCTGGGACCTTTTCCTTTTTTTTCCCTTCAGGGGAGCCCGGGTTTCAGCAACGGCATTAAGGAAACAGACACCACTTGTGTAAGATATGTCTTGGCGTTTTTTTATTCTGATTGGCCCAACAGGCAGGGCTTACATTGAAACCCTGTGCGAGTAGCACATGGCAGCCTCTTGGCGTGCCGTGTGACGCTGGATAGGGGAGGAGGAGCCTTGATTGCCTGCCACATGGTCCCGTAATGGATGAAAAACATAATGGCTGGGCCCTTGCCATTATGGCTATCTGACCAAGCCAGATTGGCCAAAGGAAAATGATTAAAATGGAACCACGCACAAGCCTACTCTTTATAGATATGTTTTCTGCTTTGCCATTTAAAAGTTATAGACTGAGTTAGCTTGACTAAACCGTTTAAAGACTTATGAAGGTTGACCTTTTAATGCTGCACAGTTCTGTTTTTAAGGTATATCGTCTTTTAATATTTTAATGTTTTCACTTTATAATTGGTTTAATTGTTTTTATTTTATCTATATCTATATAAATAAAAATGTAGTGTTCGTTTGTGGGATTAACATAACTCAAAAACCACTAGGTGAATTGACACCAAATTTGGACACAATACACCTATCAAGCCAACGAATAACCATCACTTGAAAACACAGCGGAAGAGACTTAAAAAACAAAAATACATTACAATGCATGCACAAAACCACATATATACACCTATACACAAATATATACACACACAAAACACATATACACAGACTGGGCCATAGCAACATGTGGCAGGGGCCAGCTAGTAATTTATATTGATGCTGTCGTATTGTTTTTATCTGCATTGTTTTAAATAGATTGTTAGCTGCCTTGTGTCCCATTGTCGGTAGAACGTCAGAATATAAGGAAAGAAAGTCATCATCATTTTAAGAAAATCCAAATTCTGCACTGAAAAATAATACACTACATGAGAGCTTATAGATATTTGTCTAAGCCTGATAACTGATACAGTTCTGGCAGCAATTATTCTCAGTAGGTTTGGAATTTGGAAAATGTTGGAAAGGACTTAGAGGTAGAAATCATAAACTAAGAGACAGGTGGACGTGAATGCTGCTCTGTTAAAAGTCACTGTGGGTAATTTGTGAGCATTTTCAAACTCTAGAAATGAAAACAGCTACAGATGTTGAAACAAACAAACAACAAACATTATAGTCAATAAATGTTAGTCAACAAACATTATAGTCAACAATTATGGTGGCCAAGACCAATTGTCAGAGTCTGAAGAGGCTTGCTGACAAGTACAAATGAATAGCAAGCTTGAGTTTACTACTGTTGAATTTAAAGATACTGTTTATGAATCCAAACACTTATATGCTACTTCTGCCTTCTAAAGAGGCAGCTTCTTTGAATGCACAACATGCATCGTAGATGTTGGTGGGCTCTGCAACCTGGTGATATATTTGCATATAAGCCTAGTTTTTCAGCCCTTTTTTAGGCTGAAAAATCCTCCTTCGGCTTATACTCGGGTGAGGGTCCTGGCGGGAAGGCGTGGGGCTGAGAGAAGGGGTTCTTTCAGCCCTGCAGCTTCCTTCCAGGACCCTCACCTCTCCGCACAGGAACGTAGCTCTCCTTCCTCTCTCATGCAGTGCGCATCTTCCTCTCCTTTCTTGCTCAGTGCTTGCCTTCCTCTCCTCCTCTCTCGGTGCCAGTTTTTCCCACTTTTCCTTATTCACATACACAGAGGCGGCTCAATCCATTACGCAAAGTAAGCATTTGCAGTACAGTTGATTTTGCCCAGGGCGCTCTTGAGGCGCTCTTGGGGGAAAATAGACCTTGACATATGCGAGTTGTAGTTACTGGGATGTATAGTTCACCTACAATCAAAGAGCATTCTGAACTCCACCAATGATGGAATTGAACCAAATATGGCACACCGAACTCCCACGACAAACAGAAAATATATATCAGTGATTGTTTGGGGAGGGGGGCGCCAAAATACTGTTTGCTTACCGTTGAAAATTACCCAGGGCCGCTTCTGCACATACACAAAGCATTTCCCACAACATGTATAGTTAAAATAAACTATTGTGATTATTGGAAGGATATGTAAGCACATTTACATTGAAGAAGGTTAAAATAATGATTTAATCAGAGTTGGACAGACTTCTCTTAAATTACAGTTTTATGTAAATATTCAAAAACAGTTGACCTACTGATGCCTCAATTAAAATTATTTTATTGATATCTATTTTTATTTTGAAATTTACCCATAGTTTCTGCATTTCCCATCCTTGGCTTATACTTCAGTCAATAAGTTTTTTGTGGTAAAATTAGGTACCTCTGCTTATATTCGGGTCGGCTTATACTCGAGTGTATGCGGTATCCCTTTTTGACACCTCTCTTTCAGTCCATATTCTTGAACAACACCTTCAGTGGTTTTAACCTGCTTGTCCTGTTGTGTACCTCCACAGCTATGAGCCAGAGAATCAGCCAAAGCACTCCGGTGAAACCCCCTCCGCTGGCCCCCCAAAGTCCGCCTGGCGGGGTGCTGGGAGGTGGCAATTCCAGTCAACAGCAGCAGATGAGGCTGCAGCAGCTGCAGATGGAAAAAGAAAGGTTGCGACTGAAGCATCAAGAGCTGCTTCGGCAGGTGAGGCCGCAGGTTAGAAATGCACTTCCATTACAATAGCATCTGTTGTGTGTGCATGTATGACGTTATATTTGCAAGCACCAGCAAATTGCGGGAGAAAGGGGTCCTTGTATCATGCATGGAGGGTAAATATTCAGGTTTATGTGTTGTAAAGATTATTTCCTCTCTTGGATAAACGTCCCAAGCAAACAACATAGGAGCGAGCAAACAGAACTGCTATAGCTGTGAACACATCTCCGGTTTGTGACTTCTTCGAAACGCTTGTGTGCGAATGTATGTGCTTCTGCTATAACCTCTGGTACAAGGGCTTTTTCCTAGCGTTGGTCCTTTTTTCCATTTCTTAAACCTCTGCTATGGGCAAAACAACCTGCTGGGTTGCCTTGTAAAATTATTAATCCTTTGCATGGACATACCTGTTCCTGCTGAATTTTCCTGCTTCATGATGAACCGCTGTAATGGATTCCGCATTGCTGCATTTGGGCCTCATATTCTTTTACCGTTTCTCTTACTTCTCACACAACTTGTTGTTTTGAGGACATAGTCCATCATTTTGCTTCCAACAGTGACTAACTAAGCCAGCCTTTGGTATTTAGAGATGTAATGGCTTTGTAGATCGAGGCATGATTTTGCCTCCATGGTTCATAGCCGTAGATAAGCCTATTCTCTCAATTTGTCTATTTTTTAAAAGAAATCCATCATAGCCAATATTTATCTCCATATATTGTGGTAGAGAGTTTGGGAAGCTAGTTTTATATTGGAATTTTTGAGAGCCCAGATCTGCTCAGAACTCTTGCTTGAGTTCAAACACTGTATGTTTTGAGACATTTTAGATATAAATATGATAACATTAATTCAAAATAAATAAATGTGGGAAGATAATCACCAAACCACTTTGGTAACTGGGTTTTGTGTGTGTGTCAAAAGCATTTCATAAATAACCAAGTATAAAACTGATAAAATAGAGGTAACACAAGCGGCTAAATAATTTTAGACCAAAAACGGGCAACAGCGACAACTGTTGATGGATTATTTATACATCCCGTTTCTCTGTGTGAGTTTCAAGGCAGAAAATGGAGGTATAAAGAGTCATGTAGGTTAGACAATGCCTATATTATTTAAGTCAGTTTTCAAGAGCTTAGCTTTCTTAAAAGTAAACAGATTATTAAGTGAGTATCCTCTTTGCAATTTTAAGTACTTAATAGAACGTTAAGAAATGTTTCTACATGGTTTAAATAAGTGATTCCCAACCTTTTTGTTTGTTTTGTTTGTTTTGGTTTTGAGGGGATTTTTGGTTTTTGGTTGTGTTTTTTAACCAGGGACCACTCTCTGACATTAGTACCAAAAGAGTTACGGATCAGTTTTTGGTCAACTTTAGATTCGGTTTGGGGTGCTGATTCAGAAAATTGGAATGGATAGACTACATCAGCTCTACTTTCTGATACAGAATACATGCCATGATCAGTGATAGGGAAGGAGTGACAGGCAGTGCAAAAGGAGAGGAAATAAATAAAATAAAATAAATAAAGAGGAAGGAAGCTCGCAGACCAGATTTTTGTCCTCGCAGCCCACTGGTGGTCCGGTTTAAATATAAATTGATCTGATGCATTTTTTTCTTTTTCTGTTTTGTTTTTTTCCCCCTTTTTCTTTATTTTTTTCAAAACTGGAGGTACAGACCCAAAGATGTAGTGAAGCTTACTCTCCAAAACTGTTGCTTTCAATCAGCGCTCCCTGTCCTAGATCTTTTGCTAATGGTTGATTAGCTCCTTATCTCATGTCTCTGGCATTACTTTTGCAATGTTTATGGGGCATCATAGACATCCTAACTTCTTTGAGAGGATCCTCTTAAGCTTTCCCACCTTTTCTCTTTAGGTGATGGGCTGCATTTTATCCAATAATTTCATGTTCTTGGAGATCTCAGGCTCTTGCCTTCGTCATCTTTTGCTTCCTCTGCGCTTATTCTCGAGTCTAACTCTTTATATACTGACGGAACCGTTGCAGGGATAACTGCTTTGTGTAAACTGGATCTTTGGGGTGTGTGTCTCTCCTTAATAAAAAGAGTTACGATACATTATCTCTGGACAAGTTTAACAGCTTCTTTTCAGCTGAAATGGCTGGGCCTTTCCTGTAACTGCTTTGCTATATTAATCCTCAAACCAATTCATACGCCACCATGCAAGCATGCTTTTAGATAAAGCTTCTAATTTTGGATTTCTTCTTCAGTAACTTCCTGAGAAGTTGACTAACTGCAGGCCAGACAGTGTCCCCTACTTGGATGTCCTCTTCCTTTCGTTCCCTGTTTGTTAAACCAACATGTGTTCATATGCTCTGTAAGCACCCCTAAGCGTCTTGTTCCATTACGCAGCCGCTTTTGTCAGCTCTTAACTCCCTTATCCTTTGTCATCTTTGGCTGTCATGGGAGCTTGCTTCTTCAGAATGCTAAGAGGGTGATGTGTTTGTCAAACCAGCCTTCCCATCCCAACCGTGAGGAGCACACAAGTAATGTTTATCCGTCTTATTTCTTTTACTCTTAGGCATTGCGGAATATCAATCCCAGCACAGCAAACTCTCCAAAACGTCAGGTAGGCTCCTAACAAATGTTTCAGCAAACTAAGAAACATTTTAAAAACTCAGACCAATTGCTCAAGATGCGTTGGGCTACATAAAGCTACTTTGCATTTTTTTAACCCTAGCTTGCCAATAACCTCAGTGTGCTTGAAAAGGAGCTCTTTGTGTCTCAAAAAATTGTTTCTCATAATGACTGGGCATAGCGATGATGAAGAAGATACATAATTATCTTTCTCTCAGATCTGTGAGCCCTTACTAATCCTTCTACTTGGTCCAAAAGTCAAGGTCCCTGAGATACCTCAATGTTTTTCTCATATGAATGAAACCAGCATTCACCCAGTCTTGCAAACCTTCTCTCTAGCAGCATGAGAAGCCACTGTTGACCTACTTGGCCGTGTAGCCATCACCAGAAGATGCCAAGCTGTTTTGATCTCATTTACTTTGTTCTGAATTTCAAATATTCAATACACATGTGTCATATCAAGTTGACAAACTAATATTCCACATAAATATACATTCTGGTCGCTCTGTTGCTCATTGGTTTCAATCAAAAAAGCTTTCAAACCACTGTATATCATCAACTTGATACAGTCCAGAGTCATAGTTGACTTGAGATGAAATTACTACAAAGTTTGGCCACAATATGAAAAGTTTTAAAAGTTGCAGTAGGTGGTGAGGGCTGGAATGTAATATTACTGTGCAACATGCTTCGCTTTTCGTAGAATCCACTACAAGTCTTTGCTTTTGCTTGTGCTTGGACCTTGGAGGAAAGCTCTGTCTTCACACAGCAAAGTTTTATTTTTATGTGTGTTGTGCAGCAAGTACAGGGTAAAGCTTAATAATCTGAGTTGCATCCTACAATTTGCCATTTAAAGTATTTTACTGTATCTACTCCATATAATTTTAGCAATCTAATTCTAATAACATGACAATCTCAGTGGAAGAAAAACGTGAGTAGTGTAAATTAATCTATATATTGATAATTAGGTATGGCAACTGTGGAAAATCTTTCATTTTTCTGTTTTTCAACCCTCCCCCCCCCCCCAAAAAAAAATAGGAGTGCTGTCTCTTATCTAGTTCAACAGCGTTTAGTATTTTGTCATTCATTTCCTTCACAACCTATGAGATTTACACCAAATTCAGAGTATTTCTTATTAGTTCTTGTTTAAAGACACAGTAGGCTTGTATTGACCATCTTCCACACTTCCCACACTGGGGAAGAGTGGGGTTTGTTACTTAATAATTTCTATCTTTTCTATCCTTCCCTGTGAATCATGGAAGAAATCGCTTTCACACAACTATTTCTCATAGTTTGCTTATTTTATTGGAGAAATTGTCAGTGTAATATTCGCACTACTCTTTGAGCCAGTTGGAACGCTCATTTTTTCCATCGCCACTACTTCTCTTTGCAGATCCAATTTTCACTGGTGCTAATCCCAGTTTCTGTCTTCCAGCATGTTTCCGATTGGTTTACTACCTTGTGTTTGGAAATATTAAATCAAAGGGTTTTTTTAATCATCTAACGATCTTGCTATTGCCCTCTCTTCCCCTTTGGCAATCTAAAGGTCAACATCCTCTTATGCTGGAATTCATATATTGTATTCAAACAAAAGAAATTACAGAAAGAAATGTAGAAGTCATCTGGAGCTTCTTCTTGCTCTGACATAATAGTCATTATACTACTATGCTGTAAACAAGGTGTAGGGGGGGGGGGCTTGAGGGGCTTCAGCCCCCCCCCCTGAAATTCTCATGGTGGTCCGCGAGAAGGCCTTACTGGTACATTATTTAAACTGTTACATTTATTCATATCATGATCTGATCACCATGCTCAATATATCCCATATGCATGGGGGTATTGGGGTAATGTTACAAATGGTTTGCTAGGGTAGACCCTCGTTCACTCAGACTCAGCCCACCCCCCACCCCCACCCCCGAAACAAAATCCTGGCTATGGGCCTGGGTGTAGGAATTAGAATTCTGCACAAAATCAAAGCGGTTTTCTCAGTAAGAAAGTTAATAGAAGATACAATAATACCACAGTTACTGACCAATAAATTGTTTCAGCACTCTGTGTTCTGATAAATGTGTTCTTATTTTAAAAAGAAGAATCCACAAAGTACTTTCATATAGGGAGTATATCATTCTAATAGAAGCACTCAACACATTGCACTTTTTACATTCGTATTTGTCTACAATGCCAAAAAAGCAAGTTGTTTTGGGATATAATATGTATATTTGCCTGTTCCTGCTTGGTTTTTGCATTTATAGTTTAAATTGTTTGAGGTCCTTTTTGTTGACTTCTGGGCCCATTAACATATTCAACTCAACTTTGATTTAAAATCCACGTTACATTGTGTATATTGTCATCCTCACCATCATTCTGAATTCACCCAGTTCTAAAAATTTCCCCAAATATTTTATTTATTTATTTATTTATTTATTAATCAACCTTATATGCCGCCACTCCCCTGGGGCTCAGAGCAGCTTACAAGAACAGGCTAAAATCTAAGACAATTTAAAAACAATTTAAAACAATTTAAAAACAGCAATACCAAAGATCAAAGGCCTGACGAAACAGATATGTCTTACATGCCCTGAGGAAAGCTAATAAGTCCAGCAAGGCACAGACTTCAGGTGGCAGAGTATTCCAGAGTGATGGTGCCACTGCTGTAAAGGCTCTGCGTCTGGTTGCTGTTAGACGCAAGGTCTTGACACTGGGAATTTCCAACAGATCTTGGTCTTCAGAACGGAGGGATCTCTGAGGTTGGTAGGGGGTGATTTCCTTATGTTATTTGCTTTCTTTTACATCTGTTTTGTCATTTGTATCATTTGCAAACTCTTTCTACCACAATTTGCTCTCCTTTTAAAACATGAAGTGAGTACTGAAACTTTACAGCAGACACTAGATCTCTACCATTCTTTCTTCAGGATTTCTTAATGATTTGATGTAAGCTATTTTGGGAGACAACAGTTGTCTGAAAGGCAGAATAAAAAGCATGGGAAAATATAGAATCATTGGAAATACAGAAACGGATACCGCAGTGTATTTTATTCAAACTAAAACAATCCGTTCTGGACCCGGTCCTGTTCAACATCTTTATTAATGACTTAGATGAAAGGTTAAAAGGCATGATTATCAAGTTTGCAGACAACACCAAATTGAGAGGGATAGTCAATTCTCCTGAAGAGAGGAACAGAATTCAAAATGATCTTAACAGCTTAGAAAGATGGGCCAAAACTAACAAAATGAAGTTCAACAGTGACAAATGGAAGATACTCCACTTAGGCAGAAAAAAATGAAATGGAAAGATGATAATCACCATCATCACCATCATCATCTTTATTTATACCCCACCACCATCTCCCCAAAGGGGACTCAGGGCGGCTAACATGAAGATACAAAATGGAGGGTGCCTAACTTAAAGAGCTGGGCATGTTTAGCCTGCAGAAGAGAAGGCTGAGAGGAGACATGATGGCCATGTATAAATATGTGAGGGGAAGTCATAGGGAGGAGTGAGCAAACTTGTTTTCTGCTGCCCTGGAGACTAGGACACAACGGAACAATGGCTTCAAACCACAGGAAAGGAGATTCCTCCTAAACATTAGGAAGATCTTCCTGACTATGAGAATTGTTCAGCAGTGGAACTCTCTTCCACAGAGTGTAGACACTCCTGCTTTGGAGGTTTTTAAGCAGAGGGTGGATGGTCATCTGTCAGGGGTGCTTTGAATGCAGTGTTCCTGGGGGTTGAACTGGATGCCCCACGAGGACTGTTCCAATTCTATGATTCTATGACTTGTCTGGTATCTCCATTTGTTTTTTCAGGTGGCATTGGTTCACAATATGTATGCATCTCACTCATTTTTAGCTATGCTGATTACCAACTTAGCTTTGTGGTAAGATTGCTGCTACACTCTTTAGATCTCAAATACCATTCAGTCCAGAGTCCAGTCGTCTTGATTATCATTGGTTCTATCTGAGGAATTTCAGAGGCTTGCTCATATCCATCTCATTGATAATATTTTATGTTTGTATTGATATCTTTTGCATTATTAGCCTGAATAGGCAGACAAATACACACTGGCACCAAGACCATTTAAATTATCTAACTGTAGGAACAAGCCACAGCAAGGGGTGTCAGTCTCATTTTCATTGAGTGCCACATCAACCGTATTATTTATTATTTACAGTATTTCTATACCGCTTTTCTCACCCCTAGGGGGACTCAAAGCGGTTATGGTTGCCTTCAAAGGGCCGTTGAATCCATGGGTAGAGGATCCTTGGATACAGAGGGCAAACTATATTTTTTATGAATAGTGGTCGGTGCTTTTTAGTTTTTACTCAGTTTGGATCCCCAGGTGTTCTTGAACGACAACTCCCACCACTTTGGATGATCTGCCATGCAGAGTGGGGATAATAGGACTTACAACCCAACAGCACTTGTGGCTCTGAGGGTGGGGAAAGATTAAAGCACAGACTATATGTCCATAAACTTTGTATATGCATTCAAATCCAGCTATATTGACCAAACAGAACAAATTGCAGCTGTCCAGACATTACTGTATCACAACTCCCATCTGTTCTGGTCATGATGTCTAATGATGAGGAATACAGGAGTGCTAGTCCAGCATCTAGAAGGTCACATAAAATGACATGGAGGACTGAATTCAACCCACAAGCTATGGGTTCGACACATGTGAGCTACAGGGAAATAGCATATGTTTATGAATGATTGCTGTAGAGTATACTGTAGGAACAAAGATCCAACCTAGGTTAACATCCTTTCTGATGTTCTGTTCATTAGATGTGATTTATGGCTCAGGAAACAGGCATACAATTTTCAAAAAACAATTACTCCAGTTGAACTGGTTCAGCTTTTATTGTGTATTTTTCCAGCACTCTATGACTAATCCAGTACCTTTGCCTCCTCATCTCATTACTGCTAATAAGTTCTCAACTGGAACATTTTTTCAGGGCTGTTTCTACACTTGGCCTTGGCATGACACCACAGCTTCT